AGAATTTTAAAATAACTTTACCTTGCTGTAAATGAATGTGGAGATTTTGCTCCAGGGTATTTGCTACCAAGATTAGAGATTTTTTTTTTTTGTTAGAACAAACAATAAATTTGGCTAGCCAAATTTGCCTGCTCCCACCCAAAAAACCCATAAGGGGGCAGATATGGGGTTTCAAGTAACAAAGCAAGGTCTCATCTCTCTTTTTAAAATTTTAAATTCAATTTTGTCATGTCTGCATAGCATTGGGTTTTCCAAAGAGTGTAGAATTCTTCGTCGGGGCTTCCACGATTGGTAATAACTTCACGTAACTGTCCACACAGTGGATACTAAGTAAGTCCAAGATATTTGCTCAAACTCTCAAATTATTTGCCAGTAAATAAATACAGTGCCATTCAGAAGTCCTTTGATTGCTTGAAGCCAAAATGGTTTTAATTTGAAGGATCTTCTTACAATGCTTTCTTCAATTAGGCTTGGTGCTTTTTTACGGATGCCTGTAATTTTATCTATTTTTTTTTAATTATTTAGATGTCCTGCACACCTGATATTAGAATAAAGATTTTAAAAAATTGACTTAGTTAGCACTGAACTCAGAAATCCATCTTCATTTACCACATTGTTCAATACATTTCCAGAAATACTAGCCTTTAAACTCTAATAATACATGCTTAGAAAGAAACACTGAATCGCCTTTTGCGTATCAAAAGTCAAACAATTCCCAAGCTGGGTGCTGTCAGCTGAGTCTCAGCGTTTATGCTGAACACAGATGAGGTGACTTTCTTTTCATTATACTTGTGCAGCATAGACAGCCTGTTCCAAGTCTACCGTATTGCTTTTGGTCCCTTTGACCCAAAAGGCACAGTACTTACAGTACTGAAAGAGCGTCCTTGTATCTTGGCCAAGGAGTGGAGGCAAACTGCATTGTCTGGGAAGCAATTCAAAATCTACATGAGAAGAGAAACAGCTAAGCTGAATAGATAACCCCGGGGTGAAAAACAGCAGAGACCATACCAGATTCCAGTGTGCCAGGTGCAAGGAATAGTCAAGGGACAGGTCACCATTCAAGGGACCGGCTGAAGGAGGATTCAGACTGTAGCAAAAGGAGGACGGCACAAATATTGTTTTAAGCATTTATTTGCCTTCTGCACGAGAGCAGTAAAGCCCATGCAGTAAATTCCGCCTAAATCCAGGCTGCACTTGATTGTACTCATAGTGGAACAATTTGTTCTTGTGAAGTGCTTTCAGGGCCTGAGGTCCACACTGAAGAGAGAGGGGCTGGTTTGCACCCAGAACTCCAGGCTCAATCTGATTTTTCAGATGGGAAGCTTTCCATAACCTGTGTTCTAATCTACACCACCAACCCTAAGGAGGTCTCAGTCAGGACCAGGACTGCTGGCCTTTTCTAGATTCACTTTTTTTCTAGGCAATATCACATCTTGCATTTATTTTGCAGATCTGAATAATAGGGAAACTCTGCAATGTATTGCTGCAGGTCATCTCCATCATAAACAAGTAGCTGCTTGGTTTGATAGGAGTTCTGCTTTCTCCTTCCTTCCTGCCCTGCAACATCCCCCTGTGGAGCAGCATGCTTTCTGCTCGTCTAGCTTTTCTTCACTCCTCTCATTTTGCTTTGTGTCTCCAGCTTTTACTGTTTGCTGCACACAATAGACACAATGGGTTTGATCAGCCAGGAGAGGGGGCATGCAGACTGCACAGAAACACCAGCTGTGACCTGATCCCAGGAGACATCGTATTTCAGCCTCCGTGACATGTTTCACCCTCTCCTGACCTGGTGCCTGTGCTGCACAAACTATGTCTTAAATGGGGCTACTACCATTTGTCAGTCAGTAGACAGAGGGGGAAGGGAAGGGAAAACCAACAAGGGTCCTCTTGTTAGCTGCCTACTTTGGGATCTGCTTCTTCGTGGAAAAAGTAATAGTGAAAATGATGGGGGCAAAGAGGTTAAGATACTTGGATAATTTAACAAAATCTACTCCAACCTTCCAAGAAGCAGGATTTAAACAAAATAAGCCTTCAAATTTATTGCTGCAATTTTCTGAAAAGCATCTAAAACCTGAAAATAATCAAGACTATTCTGATCTGAAAAAGCTGCCTCGTGAACTGATATATGTCAGCCACAAGCAAAATCTTGCACACACCCAAAAATGGGATGAGGATCTGGAAAATTGGTCTTTCCCAGGAGCCATGGGACTGAAATTAAAGTGGCTACAATTTTATTTTCCCTAAAACAATTGAATTTTAGTTTTTAATTCAATAATGTATGTAGACAACAAAGTAATTGATGGCCTCTAGACTCCAAAAGTGTTTGTTAACTTCATTAAACTTCCCTATCTAAAATGATTATACCCTTAAAAAGTGTATCACCTTGTTATTAATTTAATAACTAACCTGATTTAATAACAAACACACACACACACATACACACACATATATATTACTGTGTTACGTATTTCCTATTTTTTAAATATTTTGATAACCATATTCGAACATTTCTGATTTCATTTGTAATGGAATCTATATTTATGCATTTAAATACCTTTTTCCAAGAAAGGGTCTGTAGGTCTCACTAGACTCTTACAGTCTAGTGAGAGACTGGACATGGATAGAGAACTGCCATTAGCAAAACTCAACCTAGCAAAACAAGAGAGTGTGAGAAACAAATTTAAAATTGCTCAAACTTTCTTCCATTGATACCAGCAATCACCACCATTGGCTTATTGATTAAACCACATTATTTTGTTCCATTTTGTTGATAAAGCGTTTGTCCATTTGTTGTCGTTCTTAACATGTGCCCCAATTCTCTTCCTTTGTATGACACAACATGGGGAGTTTTATATTTTTCAGGCACTTTTACAGAGCCTGATGCTGATCAAGCTGAGAGGGAGTGATTGGCCTCAGGTTATCCAGCTGGCTTTTGTTCTTAAGAGACATTACAAACTGGGTCTTCCCTCTTCTACTCCAATATCTTAATAACATAGACATCATAGCTCATTGGTGTGAACCCAAAATTGCATGTGTTCCCCACAAAACAAACCCCAATAGCTTAGGATTGATTCTTGCTTTCTTAGCCAGTCACCATCCTACCTCTGCATCTCCTGATTTCTCCAGGCAGCTGACCTTGACCTCTCCTGCTTCTCCTCCTCAGCAGCTGCTGGACTCTTATCCTACATCTTGCCTAATGAGGAATTAAACTATCCTAGTTCCTGAGCCATACCAGTGCAGGCATTCATAAGAGCCGTGGCTAGGAGGCAGTCTTTAAGGAGCATAGAGAATTCAGAGGAAAATGGCTGAAAAACTTCATGAGTTATCTCCTCTACCTGAACCTCTTGAGCTTGTTTGTTTTATTTTTTTTTTGGGGGGGGAGAAGTATTTAGCAACCCATATTTATGACCTGGTCTGAGCTGGCTCGATAGTATCCCCGGTTTGCTTGAAGAAATAAACATTTGTATCCATTCAACTTGTATGCTTCACTGTGTAGTATTTCTTTTTTTTTATTGAAAAGTTTTATACAAATTTATTATTACAATACAATAACCCTCCCTCCTCCCCTATCCCAACCCTCCCCCCCTTGCTTCCCAGAGTTGATTACAGGGTTAAAAATAAGCAAACAAATTCTAACTAAGCTTATCCAACTATACCAATAACCAAATCCCTAAAATACTTTAAATACAAACAGCTCCCAATTTAAACTATAAGTTAATCAAAAACTAAATGATACTTTCTAATTCCATGTTTATTCTGTACAAAATTTATCCATCTTCTCCACACAGAGATGTATTTTTCTTGTGAATGATCCTTCAAATAGGCAGAAATTTTGGCCATTTCTGCTAAATTAGAAACTTTAAACGACCATTCTTCTATTTATTTATTTATTTATTTATGAGACTTATATACCGCTTTAAGTGCAAGCACTCTCTAAGCGGTGTACACCAGTAAGCAATGTATATATATATTTACATTGCCCCCAACAATCTGGGTCCTCATTTTACCTACCCCGGAAGGATGGAAGGCTGAGTCAACCTTGAGCCGGTGAGATTTGAACCGCTGACCTGCTGAACACAGTCAGCTAAAGTGGCCTGCAGTACTGCACTCTAACTGCTGCGCCACCTCGGCTCTGTGGTAGGCAAAGAATCTTTCCTCCAATATTGCCCAACCAATAGCCTTGCCGCCGTAATAAGATTCAACATTAAAATAGTTTCTTTAACATCACAATCTTCAATAATACCTAACAAAAATAATTGTGGTGTAAACTTTATCTTTCTATTAAAAATCTTCTGAATGTTCCACCAAATCTTAATCCAAAAAGCTTTTATATTTCTAGTACTTCTTTTGAACGCAATGTGCAAGTTTCTGCAACTAGTAGATCTTGGCTGGACCAGCTGCTTCTTTAAATGTTAGTCAATAGCAGCCTTGGCAAACTTCAATAGGCTCATTGCAGTCCAGAGTAGAATTTCTAAGCTTGGCTTAATGGAATAACAAGAGTTGGAAGGGACCTTGGAGGTCTTGTAGTCCACGTCCTTGCTCAAGCAGGGGCTTAGAAACAGCTGGGAGGAGCATGAAGCAAACAGTTCAAGCCTCACAAGGTATCCTATGAGATCTGCAGTCTCTTCTTCCTCACCCATCTATTTCACAGATCCCAAAGTTAATCAATAAAGGTAATGATGTAACATATATGTTAGATTTTTAAGCAGGTACTAGACTCTATGTAGCATTCATCGCAAATGCAACTGGGATGCATCTCCAAACTAACATCATTTGGACAAGGGCGAGGATCCTTCTGTTCTGCTCATGCTTTCTTTCTAAATTTATTTATTTATTTCTAAAATTTATATGCCGCCCAATCCCAAGGGACTCAGGGCGGCATACAAAATTAAAACAATAATCTGACAATAAAACAATAAAATAAATACATTCATACAGCGTGTCCGATCATATCCCGCCCCCCCCGGGGACATCAGCCCCAGGCCTGCTGGAACAGGAGAGTTTTAATGGCTTTCTTAAAGGCCGGCAGGATGGGAGTAGTTCGAACCTCGGGGGGAAGTTGATTCCACCAGGTCGGAGCCACCACAGAAAAGGCCCTTCCCCGAGGGCCCGCCAGCCGACATTATCTGGCCGACGGGATAAAACAAGCTGCAAATTTCAAATCCTCATTGTAGAACATTGGTTCATTGTTTCTCAATTGTTCTTCAGATTGAAAGCTGAAATATTATATTGCTGGATAGCTAGATCTTCCTTACTACTATCTGAAGATGAAGGTAATGGGGATACACGTGTTTTATATTTGGATCAAGTCTGTCTCCTATGATTCCACATTCAGTATAACCCTACAGAAATGTTTGTCATATCACTGAGCTCCTGTTAAGATTAGGCTAAATAAAGATATGACAAACTCAAGCTCGAAACATATTATGTAGAAAAGCAGACTTTCTAGCACCAAGCTATAACCTTTCTCTACTTAGAAGAAAAGTTTTATAGATTATTCTATTGCTACTGGGAAAAGTATATTCACTAAGGTTGGGGCATTTTCTATTCGCAAAGCAGTTTCCATGACTGAAACAAAACAATGCAATTTTCCATTAGACTAAAATGTCAGGTTTCCTTGGTTTTAGAGATCAATATGTTTGTTCCCTCTAAAACAGATCAGATGTAGTCCTTATGATATAAAATGAAACTGTTTCAGTCTCTTATTATAGTAGATTTTGCTACCTGTAAAAGTTAAAATATAACCAAGCTTAATGTTATTCTTATCAGTTAGCGTTTTATTGGATTCAGTGCTCCATTATAAACAAAAACAGAAAAATCATAACCAGCATGATTTGGAGACTTACTGTGAAAAAAAATGCAATTCTGTTTATTTATTATGTTATTTATTATAACAATTACTGCTTTGCTAGCAAAATAATTGTTGGGATATTTCACAAATGTATATTTAAATTAATAGGAATAAAATAATACTGGAATCCACTGTTTCCAATTATTGTGATTCTTAAAGAAGTGGCAATCCAGTGGATTTAGGGTGTACTAGGATGAAATTCACAATGTTTCCTTCAATTTTTTAAAAATCATTTTGCAGAGAATGCTAATAAGGCAAAACTCTGATAATATACAGCTACACAGCAGAATGTTCTGCTCAGATATCATCCACAATACAACATAGCAAGAGATATATTTCTATAGGGTAATTCTTGCATGTGATTTAGCTGGGCATGGAGAAAGATTTTCAGCCAACTCAGATCAATAGCTGGAAGATCAGAATGATGACTCTGATCCTTGTTCCTGTACTATATATATTGCACTATACCAGATCTCAATTTTCCCACAAAAGGTAGAGGAATTGTACAAAACATTTGCAACAAACTGAAAAGTAATATAATTAGCTCTGAAATGTTAATTTATGGAACCATTCATAAAATTCTTTATATACATCATATAAAGTTTAAAAATAGTTCAGCAGACCTGTCCATTAATAATATCTGTAGCCGAGATGCCCACTTTATTTGAAGTGATTTAAAATATAAAATATGACTCGTTTTCAAAACCAATTGCTTTCAAGTGCTTCTCCATATCTTCATTAAATGTCACTGAGCCACATACTAAAACAAATGGTTGCCTTCTACATGTGTTCACCATACTCTTAATCAAACTTTCATCTATTCGACCAAGTTGTGTAGTCTCTCGAAAGCTCCATGGCAGATTTTTAAGTGACTGTTCCTAAAAGGTAAAACAGATAACATGTGCAACATTTGCAAAATTCACAAAAATATATCATGAATTCTAATGAATTAAGATTTCAAATGCATTTTCAGAACCTCACATTAATAGAAACAGTCATAACTGCCTATCACAGTCATTGGATTTGTAGATACTTCATTTTAAAACAAAGTCCTACTATTCTGTTTTAAACTGCTTCACAAAACCTCCTATGTAATAGTCCAAATCCAGCTAAAATTAGTCAGTGGATCGTTGCCATTCTTGGCTAATACGTAGTGCTTCGTTAATTTGAGTCGAAGGTGAAGAAAATGCATTCATACAAGATTGATCCTTTATCAGGTTAAACCCCAAAAGCATACTCTTCCTTCAAACTAGCTGATCAAAGCAGAAACCTGAATATCTTGATGACTTCTGAAACAATTGCTCGAGAATGTCACTCAGATATGCCCTGTAATGCTATCAATACAGAATACTGTAAGTAGTTTACTGTCTCAGGAGCCCTATTTGTGTCATAAGAGATGCACAGAATTTAAGTATTTGTAGGAGGATACAAAATGTAGAGAGAACGAAAAAAATCATTAAAAGAATCATAAAGAGAAGTGGGAAAAATGGCACTGGACTGTTGGAGTAGCCATCCTCTATAGATTTTAAACTGCCTTGTGTTCTCCAAAAGTAGCATGAAAAAGCCTGAATTGGGCACAAAAAAACTGACTCCAGAATTGAGCAGGTTTTTCTTGTTGCCCAATCTAACCTAACATCTGCAATATAGGAAGTAAACTTCTTTTAGGCCTTGAATTGATATAGATATGCTTAGAGATGTTGCAGCTAGATCACTAAAGTGCTGGAATTATTTAAACGCTTAAAAAGGGACCAAATGGAGAGAAAGTTATTTTCAAAAGTGGAAAGGGACCTGAGCTGGCTCCTGCAAGAGTGCATTCCAGTGTTTATAAGCAATACAGGATTTACCTCTCTGGTGTGCCTGGTGAAGGGATCTCACATAGTGAAGGCATGAAAAAATAAATGTTCAACTGTCTGATCAATCTTTACCTTCACAGATTGGTGCTGGATTTACAGAGCTTCAGCCGGGAAATCCTTCTTGACCCTACCTGTTGTCATCAGGGGTTGAATCTGGTCCTCTGCATGGAAAACACGTACTCTGCTGCTAAGCTACAATCCAGTTACATTGAGATTGCAGGATTGTCATGAATTCGTCATCTACCACTTGCAAAGCCCATAATCAAATGAAGGGATTGTCTCAGAAGTACAAAGGGACCATTTTCCAAACAAATATTTACCTGGCTTAATACATAAAATGTCCTGATGTTCCAGAATCGAGACTGTTCTTGAAGAAGAGTTTTCATGTAAATATTTTCAAAAGTTCTGAAGCAGCCTACCAGAGTTACAAAAGTTTCATCATCTTCATTTTCAGTTATGTACTGGATAATAGGAAGCATTGGTGCAATGCCTGTCCCAGAAGCGAGCATGAGGAGTTCTCCATACTAAAAATTAAACAAAATATAGCAAATGTGTCTTAAATCATCAAAAATGGAAAGCAAGGGGTTTGCAAGATGATTTTATGATACCATCTCATCATTTTCTGTTAGGGAAACGGACGGAGTAGAAAGGAGTGATATTCAAATGACTTGAAAAGCCAATTATGTTCAATGTTTCCATATTCCTAGACTGAACCTGTGTTTTCCCTGCATTCCTAAGAAAGAGTCTATGTTGTGTAAGCTTCCACAGTTCTGCTTTTTTTTGTCCATTTAATGAAAGAAGTACCTTCCCTTTGTACTGTAAACTCAGTCCCTGTGGCACCTGCATGTGTAACACATGATGTACATTCGCAAGGGGTGGGTCTTGTTTTCTTAATGGCACAATGCTGCCAATTCCACCAGAGTGATTAATTGAAAAACTCCATCACCAACTTAACCCACAAACAATTCTATGTTGTAATGTTTTAAAGACCTTCCTCTATACGTAAGGAGAGAAAGAACAGTGCAGATTGGATGCAACTTTTCCACGGCCTTATTGTAAAGTTGCAACAGTGTAAAACTAGAATTTGTTCCATTTAATTTACAAATTCATAAAGAATGGTGGCCAGCTTTAAACTGAAAAAAAGAAGTTGGATTTACATCACTTTGATTTAAATCAGTCCCATGCTGGATGATTACATCTAAGATACATATATGTGTCACCCACAAATAAATATATTTTTTGTTTCAGGTGAACATTTGCAGTGTAAACCCACATATAGGAACAAAGGTATACTGATGGAATGTTCCTTAGCAAGTGAATTTTAGATTCCAGCCTGACATAGCGCTGGAATAATGCTAAGAAGAATTTAGTAATAAGTAGTTGAAAGGACAAATCATAGATGAAAATACAGAAAAAAAGACTAAATCCCCCAATCCAAAAGTTGCACAAGAACTGATGGTATTTCTAGAGTTAGGGCTAGATGATCAGGACAGATTCACATGCTTTTAGTGCAAACTTACAGTATGCACTCAGAAACGAATAACTATTTTAGAGATACCTTTTTCTAGAAGAAAAGTACACTGACTTTAACACACTGCAAATCTTGATTGTTTACTGTGTTTTCTGAGTCCTTATGGTAAACAAACAAACAAACCCAGCAATAATCCAGGAAAAAGGAGATCAGTTTATAGATTTCCCCCCCCCCTTCATTTTCAAAAACCAAAATGAATCAATATCGGTGGTGGTTTGCTATCTTTTATAGGAATTACCCGATTGGCTGTATAAGCAAAGCCTCCAAATGGTCCTCTCCAAAAAATGGCATCTCCCATTTTCCATGATTTTATGTATTGGGACATTAGTCCAGTTTTATAGCACTTGCAAAAGAAATCAAAGAAAGCATTTTTTTAAAATGGAGAGAATACAAATTTCAAACCAGTTATTCACATCTTCTCAATTAAAACTTTTTTTAAAAAGCATTGGGGTACACATGAAAACGAGAAATAAATTAAATCAGAGTGATACTTAAATCTAGCATTTGTGTTCAGTGCTTCAATACACTCAATTTAAATTAAACATTGTCTTTTGCTTTTAATCCAGTTGTACTGAGAGCAGAAAAACTACGTAAGTATTTTAAACTTGCTCGAACTACGAACAAATTGCAAGCAAGTTTTATTTAGTAGATATACTAATTAGCAGCAGCTGCAAGTAACCATTCATCCTCTGTGTATTTATAGAAGCAAGAGAACATTCTGAGAAGTAAAATTCCAGTTGTGTTGTTTTGCCTCCTTTGAGTCTTCTTTCAGTTAGGAAGTTTGAACAGAAATAGAACTGTGACATAAAAAAATTTGTTCACAATTGAAACCCTCAAATATTCATAAGTAACACTGGTAGGAAACATTTTCATGCATAACAAAAGAAGTGGGATAATGAAAACTAAAATTGCCAATATATACTGTTATTGTGCCAAATAACTTCCAATGGGAATCTAGAAAAGAAGAGTTTTGTGAAGCACCTTGAAAATTAAAATATTTATTATAGTGTAACTCACTGTACATCTTACTTAAATTTACATTGTTTTTACCCAGCAATTAAGATAAATGTTTTCTTCTCATTTATCTATGGCCATTTCTACGGTTAAATTTTACATGCAGTATTAGGTTGCTTTTAATGTGTCATGTTAAAACATGTTTGCAAGTCTAGCTACAGTGAAGCAAATGGAGATATTAAATTAAAGGGGTGGAGAATCAAGACTTAAGCTGTTATGTATCTCATGTAATGGAATATTGGTTTCAGGGGAGAAAATGTATTAAGAGTAGATTTCTTCTTCGTTCCAATGCAGAAACAATTAGACAGGTTTATAATAAATTATTCTAAATAATGGAAGAAAAATTCCTGCAGAGAAAAAAAACTCCATACCAGGCTTTACTAACTCCCCCCCTCTAAAAATCAGACTATTAAAGAATCATTCAAAAATAAGGATAAGCATAGAAATTCACCACTTATGCACACTTAACTGTAGTGCAGTGCTGTAATCATGGAACACAGAGGCATTTGAATAGCCCTTGGATAGTACACTAGTCGTAAAAGCAGGAATAGTTATACTACTATTAATAATACACTACTTCCCAAAATTGTCTGGATTGAGAACAATCCTGGATTGACAACAATCCATACCATATTATACAAACGATGGGTGTTTTTATCTCTTTTGTTACTGTTAGAGATTAACTATGGTTTCATTTGGGTTGAACAGATTCTATAGGAAAGGAAAGCATTATTACTATCATTATTACTATTATTGCAATACAAAAAAATTCTGTGTAATGAGCGAGCACAGTCAACCTGTAAAGATAATGAATTAATGCAGATTAGGCATAGTAAAACATTTCAGAGTAACAGAATAACAAAATTGGAAGGAAGCTTGGAGGTCTTCTAATCAAACCCCCCCCCCCGCTAAACCATGTCAGACAAATGGTTATCCAATCTCTCTATAAAAGACTCCAATGATGGAGCAACAAAAACTTCTTAAGTTCCCCTGATTAACTGTTCTAACTGTCAAGAAATTTCTCCTTATTTCTAGGCTGGTTCTCTCCTTGATTAGTTTCCATCCATTGCTTCTTGTTCTGCCTTCAGGTGCTTTGGAGTATGGCTGACCCACTCTTGTTTGTGGCAGCCCACTGCTGTCATGTCACCACTAGTCCTTCTTTTCATTAAACTAGACATACCCAATTCCTGCAACCATTTTTCATATGTTTTAGGCCCTCCAGTGTTCAGAAAGATTTATCTACACAGCCTGTAACATTTCAAAAGAAGTATGATGATACCAGAAAAAAATAGCACACAATCTATGGTAAAATCTTGAAGAGTTCACATTCCTAGTGATGAGCAGAGGGCAACCTGGTGGCTCATTATGATTTTCTTCAAGGACCCGCTGCAACAAAATCTGTTTTCCACTAGGGCAGGAGTAGGCAACCTTGGCTCTTTTATGACTCGTGGACTTCAACTCCCAGAATTCCTGAGTCAGCATGGCTGGCTCAGGAATTCTGGGAGTTGAAGTCCACGAGTCATAAAAGAGCCAAGGTTGCCTACCCCTGCACTAGGGTGTTCATACACATTAAGCTTATTCTTAAATTGAAGATTAGCCAACTTTCCTTCTAAGCATACAAGGAGAGCAACTGCTACCCTATGGATGAACCATGACGTTCACCAAGGAAACATGTCTGATTTTACATGGATCCTGAAGTTATACATAGCTGTTGATTATATCTGGTTTCCTGCTCTGTGATATGTCCATTTAACTGTCACATACTGTATGGTAAGTTATTATGTTTACCTTGGTTTCTAACAATCGTTTCATACCTTCATTTCTGTGGTTGAGCATTTGGGAATTATGGGAGATATAACCTAACCCACCTGGAGCACACTAGTTTGTGGGAGTGTGATTCATACGGATAGAAATGGCTTAATTTTATGTTGAAGCAGTTTAGTTGTTCCCTGTAGTTCAAATTACAAATAGAGAACAAAACCAATGAGACCAACAGGACAGAGGAAGATGAAAGCAGAAGAAAGGACCTCTATGTTTCTGATTTTAAGGAAGGGACTCCCATTTTAAAGGGCTCTCCTATGCAGAAACCTTATTGCCCATTGTTGATTTTCAAATGGTCTGAACTTTCTATGTTGATCATTTTTCTAAGTTGCAGGAATACATGTTTCATTTCAATAACAGAGAACATCCTGACACAAATCAGCTCCGTTATTCCATCTTACTGCTTTGTCCTGCTGCCTAGGCTGAGTCGGGCTTGGTATGGGGCAAAGAGAATACCAACGAACCAAAACTGTAATTACAAGCCTCCCCAATATAAAAAGCCAAAGCTGAGCATTCTTGTGGCATAGAAGATGAACGTTGCTGTGTCAAGCTGTTAATTTATAGAACAAAGGAACCTATTTACCTTTATTAAAACTTCAAAGAACCCTTCGGCATTCACAGGCGTAATTGGAGTATAAGCTCTCTGAACCTCCAAACCGTTCACTATTCCTCTGAGGAAAAAAAAAAGGGGGGGGGAAGGGAGCAAAGATCAAGGGAGGAAATCTTGATTTGAATCTCCAACAATTCTTGTAAGCCCTGTACGATTCTTACAACAAAGGCTGCTGTCTGAAAAGCACTGCAGGCATCCTTCCTCATCTCTATGGGTTATCTTCTGTCAGCCAAACAACAGATTATTCCCTCCCATTTTGCAGTAAGATCACAGAGATCCAAGTATTGAAATAACCTCAGGTTTTTCTCTCCAACACAGCCATATTACCTCCTCAACAATTCTTTCCTTTCCTAAAGCCAGATACGGGTTTTTATGTTGTACTGCTTTGCTGCTACCGAGTAAGAAAAGAACGACACCGGGGAAGGTGAGGATTATGAATAGTTTGTAGCGGAAAAGGGTTTTCATCTTGACATCATTGTTGAAAGAATAAATAACCAATGTGTAGAAATAAAAATTAACAAATGATACCTGCTATGCTTAACAGCCTGGTGTTTTTTCAACAAAATTTATTTATATATTGTATTTATAGCCAGCCAATTTTGAACAACTTTGGGCAGAAAATAATTATAAAAACCAAGTATAAAAACAGTTGATCAGGAGAAACACAATGGCTAATCTAAAAGGAACAACCCACAAACAATTTCTCACCCAGCAAAGTTGTTCTCCAGTCTCTTGGCACAAATCCTGGGATACAGCTAGGTCTTCAGGGCTCATTTGAAGAAAAGCTGTTCCGGAGGGCAGGAGCTATTACAGAGAAGGTGTCATGGCTGATTCACCACGCACCCCTGCTGGCAACCAGACAACGGAAACAGGGAGGGGGGAGGGAAAGTATTGGAATGCAAAGAAGACTTGGGAGGGAATTGAGAAATTAAAGTGAGCCGATGCAGTGCCCGGGACAGTCCCAATACCCCAAGGTCAAACGCTGGGAAAACTCTGAGCTGCTCAGAATGTTCCCATTACAAAATGAATACAATTGACTGCTGGACAATGAACTGTGGGGAGGTCCAGGGGGAAAGGAAGATTTTACCAATACTGGTTTTCGGTGAAACGTTAGCTTTGCTACTTCTGCACCTTTGTGGAATTATCAGTAAAGTTTACTGATTTACATTTATCAACGGGAAGGCTGATGTTAGACATGCTTCTGGGATTACATCAGGACATATTCTCAGCAGATGGGACATGGAGCATAACAACTCTGTCTGAAAAGACAGGATGGGCAGAAACCATGGGAAACAGGCAGTCCCTCAAATCATGAGGCCTATGCCATGAAATGCTTCATAGGTAATAGCCAGCACCCTGAATTATATCCAGAAGATTGCTGGCAAGTATTGTAGTGCAGCTCACAAAGCAGAAGTGTTACATGGACCTACCATAGTACGGTATGCCTATACTGCAACATTTGGACAGTTGAGTGATCTTCAGGGGCAATCCACTCTAGAGTGCATTGCTATAATCCACACACAAGTGAACAAGTCATGCGACCATGAATAGGGCCTCCTGGTTCAAAAACAAGCATAACTGGTGCACCAAATGGATCTATGGAAAGGTCTTCTTGGCCATGTTGTCATCTACTAGTTAAGTAAGAGCTGAGAGTCAATGATAATATTTAAGTCACATGTGTGTCCTGAATACTACTCCATCTATTCCATCCAGAAGTAAGGATGGCATTTCCCAACTCCAAACAGCCCCAACATCTACAGCTATTAAACTGCTACAGCCTCCAGGCACTGGGCATTACTTGAGATATAGAACTGAGCAGCGTCTGCCTACTAATAATATTTACCCCCAAACAGGCAGATGATCATAGGCATCAGATTCTTGTAGGCATTAAGCAAAAGGAGAGAGAGCACCGAGCTTTATGATACCTCACAAACCAGGGCTTCAGACTTGATTTATCTCTCCTATCAACCCTGACTGGAATCAGCCACAAAGAAAGGAGGAAAGTCCATCAAAATACTCACATTTCCTGTACAGATTGAACCAGAAGGATACAATGATTTATGGTATTGAAAGCTGCTAAGACAGGGGTCCCCAACCTGTTGGCCACGGCCCACTAATGGGCCATAGCCTCTTAGCCACCGGGCTGCATGAAGGGATGGCCAGTGCACAAGTGTGTGTGTGTGTGTGTGTACTCACCTCCCCATATTCACACTAGCACTGCTCCAAGTGTCCCACTGCCCCGCCCCGAGTGTCCCACTGGTGTAAGCGCCACCCCAAGTGTCCGGCCATCACTAGCGCTGCCCCAAGTGTCCCACCATTGCTAGTGCTGCCTCAAGCGTCCCGCTGGCGCTAGCGCCACCACAAGCGTCCCATTTGTGGCACTTGCGCTCATATGGCCCCGTTTGCACGTGCACATGCACTCGCACGTGGCCTATTTGTGTGTGGGCACACATGCATAGCGGTGTTTGCCTCCTTTTCTGGGCCACCAAACCAAAAAGGTTGGGGATCTCTGTGCTAAGAGATCAAGGAGGATCAGGACATTGGTGTACCCTCCCCTTATGTCTCCAAAGGTCATTAGTAAGCATAATTAATGCCATCTCTATGCACCACTGGTATATTTTCCTGTTGAAGTGATAAATCTACTCCAAATTATGTTTGCTAGAACAATCCTTGAATAGGAGCAATTGGTTCCAGGTCCTCTCTGAGCCTGCTTGCAGATGTTTCATGACCCAAACTAGGTAACATCAGTGCCAGCGAAAGAAACACCAGAGTCTGAATGTATAGTTAACATGTCCAGCTGCTCACTATCCGTTCAGAACACAGGATTCTACAAAAAGGCCTCAACTATAATATAGGTGATGCCAACCACCTAGAATTTTTTGCAGTCCTAGAAAGGGCATTTAAAAATACTAAACTCCCCAGAGGTCCAAGAAAACATTAGACAAAGCATCATTCCACAGATCAGAAGAGAAGAACAGAATCAACTACAACAGAAAACAATGCAGCAAAGCAGAAATCTAAAAAAGGACCAGACCATCATTATCCTACCCACAAGCAAAGACCAAACCACAGTTATTATGGACAGAACACAATATCTACAAAAAGCAAAAGAAATACTAGAAGAAAAAGAAACCTACTTCACTAGCACTGCTGATGTTACCCAGTTTGGGTAATGAAACATCTCCAAGAAAACAAGTAAGCTTAGAGAGTACCAAGGACCCCCTCATTTCAACTTGGAGCTAGGTGATTGGTACTATGAATTTTTCTTGGAATATTTTTCCTCCTAAAACTGTGTATTCTAAACATACTTTTAAGCTTAGACTCCTGTATCTTGTTAGATTTGAATGTGATTGCAAGTTAAGTGTTTGTGCGTTGGTACAAAGAGCATAAAAATTGCATGTGGGCTCTACTTTCTACTCACGCACCATTCTTTCTCAGAACAGCATTAATGAAACTGGGAATGTAACAAACAAAAATTGTATCTCAAAGAGGTTTTGAGAAAATCTCTCATAATTCCAGGCCGTGAATTCCTGAGCTGTACCAGACTCTATGCCATCTGGAAGAAGACTGAAGTTCTCAAGGATTATCATCAGCCTTTGTGAATCCACCACTAAACCTGGCAACAGAATCAAGAAGCTCAGGCAGGGATGTTGCTGTGTAGCAGGCAGGCTGATCAAACCGCAACAAATGCAAAGCCTCTCTAGAACTGAATTTCAGCTATGATCTTTGGTTCCTGATCTGTGAAACCTTACAAGGCCTACCAGTTGGCAACTGCCATATCTCCCCCTGCCAAAAGACCCTGCCTGATGCCAAACATGAAATGTAGAGGGTGTATCTCCAAGAGGGGGGTACTCCTCCTCTGAAAACACCCGGTTTCAATAAAACATGCCAAATCAGCTGCCTCTTCCATGGTCATGTCATGGATAAGGAGGCCTTATATAGGCTGATATAGAATTTAAGAGCAGCAATCAGACACCAGAGACAGGAAGGATTTAGTAGCTTAGCATCCAGAGTGAGTATTAAAGGCCAGAAGGTGGGATTGACCTCAACCACTGATATTATTTTTCCTGTATGTGGCCCACCCTTGGATTCCTGTCATGTCTTTCTCTGCCCATCACCACCTAAGGGGTATTTCATGCCTTTATTTCTTACCCTGTCCATGCCTGACCCTGATATTTCTCCCTCCCCTCAGCTAAGGGACCCATCCAACCATCACTCACACTCTGTCAGCCTTGTAAGGTAGAACCTGACTTAAGAAATGCATGCTGTATATGTCAGAATCAGGCCATTAACAAAACTGACAAGGCATTGTCAAGTCAGTTGAAGCCACCAGTTCTGGCATCTGGTGGTTTTATATAGCAGGTTTCTCTGTGTTAGTCTTCATTCTGGCCCTTGCTGCAACTCTTCAGCATTTTCCATCAATACCGACACCTTCTAGGGCTATTCCTTGACTAATCAGACAAAATACCTTAATCAAACACTTTGAGAGCTAAAGCAGCCGCAGCCAGGCAAGACACCGCCATTTTCTTGTTCTTCTTGTTCAAACCTTTCTCATTAATCTTCTTGAACATTTTTAAAAGTCCCAAGAGCCAGTGTGGGATTCAGCCAGTTCACCCCACTTTGGCAGAACCGGTAGCTAATTTTTTGTTGCCCAGGCCCAGAATGGACTTCCAGAAATGGCATCCACACAGAGAACTGGTTGTTCATATATTTTAATCCCACCACTGCCAAGGGCTAATATAATAAATGCCAGAATTAAGGAATTTTGGAAACAGAAAGCCTTGGATTTTCCTATGCTTCTTGATAGCATAGAAATATTAATTCAATCCCATACACCAGATAACTGTAGACTATGCAGCAGCATAAAATAAGCAGATGGTTAAGATGAGTCTAACATCTTTGCAAGATACAGGTTTCATTATTATGCCTGATATGTATGTATGTATATATGTGCTCTCATTTTCTGATTGTATCACTATACAATTTTTCCAAAATGTTAATATGGAATAATAGTGTTAGAAATAGCCCTGAATAGCAGAATTTATCTTGCAGTCTATAACTTCTGTGATATAAATGGAGATTTAGTCGTGAAAGGCAAAGATTCTGTCCTGAGGTTGGCGATATTCATTTATAGAAATGGATCTAAGTGCAGCCATTTTAAAAACTAGAAAGTGATTTGAATTTTTCCTTGTCAACTCCCATTATCTATCAAGTGCAAATCAATAATGGACAGCTGTGAAGCTCAATACAGTCCATATTATTATTCATTATTAAGTTAGGTGAAACATCCAGCTATCAAAACAATTGTATAATCTTAGTATTAATGCAACTGCTTGCTATCAGCAGGTTTATTTATATGACTATTTTTAATGGCTCGCAGATCATTCAGATAATCAGTATAATATAATGGGCAATGAGCTGCAGGAATGCACAATTATTTAACCATATGTCCATAGGGCAAGTCCTGCTATTTACTTTAACTAATAATTAGTTCTCACAATTGTTGGGAGGATAAAAGTTCCTATAATGCTTTGGAATTTCTTGGAGAAAAGGCAAAATACTCTTATAATAAATATATAAATTGTCAAAGGGTTTTATACTACATTTTATTTACCCACCTAACAGCAAAAGGATCACATTGTCCTTGTGAATTAATTCACTATAATTCTATATTCTCTTTTTCCTATAAAGTGGTTTTCCTACACACGTTTAATTCTACCTCCAGTAATAATGCAATTGAAGAAAAATGCAACTATAGGGTAGCATATGCTATACAATTAACAAGATTAATAAACTCAATGAATTCACACATTCTTTCAAAAGAATCAGTTTAGGAGTGTGGTAATTATGATGTACTCAGTGTGAAATCTTTACAGATCAAGAGTAAAATCGAAAAACAAATTGCACACTATGCACAGTTTAGCTATAGATTTTATACAGTACCTTAGAACAATATGTTGTCCTAAACTCAACCCCAAGCTGCTGTTTCCAGGCAATTTAAAAGTGTACTGGTAGGTGTCCTCAGTCAATTGAGTCACAGAACTTATGATGAAAGCCATAAATGTTTCTGGAGTTAGGTCTGAATTGCTACTCTGCAAGAGCAACAATAAATGATTACAGTTTTAAACAATACCCTCCAAATTGTGAGCCAATTCAAAGGTGGTACTACAAATAAAAAACCCCAAATACAAATGCAATCATTATCTAATTCAATAGGTTCCCCTTTTTGAAATCCCATTTAAATTCCAACACCTAAGTTTATTCACATAATTCTGAGTTTGGCGATGCCTTTCTTGCTAATGAGGAAAGAAACCTAAAGACCGTGAGATTAGTAAAAGCAAAAAACCTCAATGTCTAGCAATAGAAAGTATGGTAGAACATAGACTTTTTTCTGTCTAGCTTTTCCTACACCATTTCTTTCAAAAGTAACTCCTTATTTTACATTAGACCCGGGGTCCTCAAACTTGGCCCTTTTATGACTTGGGGACTTCAACTCCCAGAATTCCTTGAAGTCCACAAGTCATAAAAGGGCCAAGTTTGAAGACCCCTACACTAGACTTTCTGCCTGCCATATTTCTCTCTTGGCAGCAGTCCAAGAGGGCTTTCAACAGTTCCATGACAGCAGGTAAAGTTCTCTGTAAAGATCTAGTTAAAAACCTTATTTTTTAGACCGCAATCTTAAAAAAAATGTTACCTACCCACATCCTTAATAACCCACATCCTTTTCACATTTTTGATTTTATTTACCATGGTTTTAATTTTTTTCTGAGTGTGAAAACCAGAAAAGAAAGTATTCTTTTTGAACCTTTTTTTAGCCTTACAATTAAACATTTTGAACAAGAAAATCTGTAAGTTTTTACACTGAGGGCCGAGAGAAATGGCTTCTAGGCTAGAATCTCAATCAGTCTCACTGCAAATAATGAAAAATCCCTAATCCTGACATTTTTATTTGTTGACCCTCACATTCTCCTGATTTCTCCATCTGTATACATTTCCTCTGGTTTTACAAACTCATAAAACCATCTGTGCACTGTTTACCCACAAGTAAGTTCCAAGAACTTCAAGTAAATTTGTTTAAGCCTGTAGCTGTACAGGTAGTCCTCGATTTATGGCTAGTTGCTTAGCAACCATTCAAAGTTACAGCAGATCTCCTCAGGGCTACTTATATAACCTGGATTTGACATTCTGATGGATGTCTCCCCCCTTCCCTCAGGTCATGTGATTACATTTTGGGCATTCAGCAACCTGCCCACATTTAGAGTTGTTTGCAACATCCCACAATGAATTTCTGGCAAACAAAAACAAAACCAAAAAAACCCGCCTACTGAGGGTTTAATGATATTGATATTAGTCTAGGCTACAGCAAACAGTTACAAAATAGAAGTCTCATTTGCAATAATATATTCTCTAGCATTCCTCCAATATTTATTACTAATACTAATATATTTATCTTTATAGATATGGTATGGCTTAATTTGTACTTTATTAAATATTGATTGATTAAATATAATACTAATTATACAACAAATACCTGTGCATTCTCTCCAGTTCTGGGAAATTTGAGAAGCTTGACTATATTTTAGAAAGCTAAAGCAAGATAACCTTAATCTAGGAAAAAAATAGGTGCCGATATGAAAAACGCTTGAATTAAATGTTTTCCCAGAATGTTACCTAGCGTCTAGTATTCCTCTCCCTGAATTTTGATCCCAAATATTTCTTTATCTTTTTGACTCTTATCCACCAAAAATTTCACAACAATTACAAGCAAAATAAAAGAGAACGGACACCCTGATTTTACATCTTTAATTACTGGAAGACTTGTAGGGAGAGTTCCAGTTTGCTGTAATCTTTGCTGTAAATAAATGAAATTTTTTTAGGTCTATGTAAGCATTCAAAAGAAGTGCTTTGCAAAGCATGAATATGACATCCTCTTCAAAGCATTAAAGCAGCTGCATCTTTTGGAAGAACTATGTTGCTGCTTTGGGGGGAATGACAGAAAAATGAAACTATGCACGCAAGCTCAACACAGAAGCAGCCAGCAGCCTTCATTTACACTAATAAAATTTGCAAAGCATCTCTTTGAAATGTTTTACACAGCCCTAGCAATTTTAATAATACTCTACTTGCTGCTTCTTTCTGGAGAGGAGGCTTATATCTTCTTTTGCCTTGGCCTCTTCCCACTTCTTTAGGTCTTCCTGATATATGTCATAAATGCAGGGTTTGCAGCCACTGCCACAGCACTGAGATGACAGTGGCTCTCTGGGCTTCAGAGACAGCCAGACTTCTTCACTCTGATCCATTACCTACAAAACACAATCCAACATTATTCCATTTAAAACTGCTGGATGGAGATGATCTCTCTCTCTTCTGCTCAGACAAGGAAGCATGCATGGCATATGATGTACTGTGATGCAGTTAGGCAGCGTTGGAATTTAAATGAGGAGAGGCCAGGTTCAAAAGTCACATTTTAAATAAAATTCTTTGATATCTTAGGTTCTATCCTATTCAGACCAGCAGGAAATGTTAGAAGCAGCTTCGCTACGCTGTTACCAGTTTGCCTTTAAGTGTATTCTTTGTAGCCATGGCCTCCAAAGTCTTTCTTTGCTGACAGACTTGGGACAGGTGACACTGTGTCTGATAAGAGGACTTGCATATTAAAGGAATCCAACTGCCCAGGCTTCTTTGCTATATGAGGATATATTCATCATTTCAATTTATGGCAGGGTTGCTAAAATGACAGGCTGGACAGTACCAGTGTACCACCTATTAGATGGTTATTGGACAATGGACATTTTCCCATTATTGAATTGAAGTTGGCAGAAAACTACACTTGTAAAAATTTGCTTTTCCCATAGCCAATACCTATTCAACCTGTATTGACTCTGTTGTCACTGCAATAATTAAATATTCCTCCAAAGTACTGATCTGCAAATGTATTCCATGAGCAGCAGAGCTGGTTTCAGACATTTCTTTGTTTTGGTGATGCCCAGAGAGAAATAGAGTTACTTTGTTTGGAATATGGACCAAAACATGATTGCCCTTGGAACAAAGTGGTTTAAAGGCATAGAAGGATGATAAAATGCCAAGGACATCAACTGCAGAAACTGAGTAAGGGGGATGCAGAGGGGGAAGATATTGGGAAAACTGGTGGTGGGGTGGGGGGAGAAAATAGTCCAGATGTCAACTACCTCTACATCTGTCGGAAAACCAGATTAGTCAAAAATGCAAAATCCTCTGCATTCCCCCTATCCTGATGACTTAATCATTTTGCAGATCAGCTGCCTCATTCCTCTATACCTCACTGGTTAAATTCATCTAAAATACCCTGGACACTGCATGTTAGGAAGGACACTGAGAAACTGAACTGTGACCAGATGAGAGTAACCAAGGTGATCAGCAACCAGAAAGAAAAAATTCTGAGGAACAGTAGAAAAGTGATGGGAACATTTATTGATGAGAAGATAGCAGGGAGACACAATAATTGCCTTCAAATATGGGAAAGGCAGTAGAGGTCAGGGCAGAATTGTTCAGAGTTGTTCCAGGACACAGGATAAAAAGGCAAGGAATAAAATTACAAGGAAGTAGATTACAGGTCAGGAAAAACATCTTAATGGCCACAATGGAAGAGACTGGCTTTGCTTGGGGGGGGGGGGTTTAAACAAAAACAGGATGCACATCTGTCAGGTATAGATCCCTGCACTAGGCAGGGGGTCGACCTTATTTCAACATGATGGGTATTACTGGGTGATTGAGTCCCGGCTCCTTGTGCTATGCACCCAATAAAAATGAACTAAGGGTGAATGTCAATTATCCAGTCACACCTGCCACTTTGAAGCTAGGACTATTACTGCAGATTCCCTGATTTAGGCTGGAAGGTCTAAAGCAGTGTTTCTCAACCTTGACCATTTTAAGGCATGTGGACTTCAACTCCCAGAATTCCACAGCCAGCTGGCTGTGGAATTCTGGGAGTTGAAGTCCACATGCCTTAAAATGGTCAAGGTTGAGCAACACTGGTCTAAAGGTCTCTAAAGGCACTTTTTCTTCCTCCATTTCCCCTCCCAAATCACCCTAGCGTCCTTCCCAATATTGGCCAAAGCAATTAAAACATTCAGGGATTTGTTTCAGCTGAATTAGTGGACGATCAAACAAGCCTGTCTGCTGCACACTCTTCCTCCAGAAGAATATGAGACAACACCTCACATGTTTTACACTCGAGAGGCTCTCGGAGAGTATTGGAATAAAGGGAAATGCTAAGAACGATTGAAAGCTACCCCACTCATTGGGGTGGGGAATAGTTGAAAAAGATACTGCAAAGGCATGTGCAATCAGAATCGAGCTGGAAGGGACCTTGGAGGTCTTCTAGTCCAACCCCCTGCTCAAGCAGGAGACCCTATACCAGGGGTAGGCAACCTTGGCTCTTTTATGACTCGTGGACTTCAACTCCCAGAATTCCTGAGCCATCTGGGAGTTGAAGTCCATGAGGCATAAAAGAGCCAAGGTCGCCTACCCCTGCCCTATAGCATTCCAGACAAGTGGCTGTCCAGTCTCTTCTTAAAAACCTCCACTGATGAAGCACCCACAACGTCTTAAAGGCAAGCAGTTCCACTGGTTAATTATCTTCACGGTTAGGAAGGCTCTCCTTAATTCCAGGTTGCTTCTCTCCTTGATTAGTTTCCATCCACTGTTTCTTGTCTTGCCTTCTGGTGCTTTGGAAAACAAGCTTTGACAACCCCCCCCCCCCCTTCTTTGTAGCAGCCCCTCAAATGCTGGAACACTGCTGTCAGTCACCCCTAGTCCTTCTTTTCTCTAGACTGGCCATGCCCAATTCCTGCAAGGGTTACTTTGGTGTCCCGGTTGGGTACAACCGGGGACAGCCTTAACGCCAGGCCGTCGCTTGCAAAGCTCTCTTTCACGCCTCCAGCAGAAAAAAGAGATTTCGAGCCTGCGCTGCCCCGCCCGCGGTCAATCACCCAATGTGCCCGCCTCCTCTCCCGGCATGCTCTTCGCAGCCGGATCAAAAATGGCTGCCGCTCACTCTCTTCGCTGAGGCGATCGGGGCTGAAGATGCTGGCGGCACGGCGGCTGGCTAAGCGAGAGGCGTGCTGGGCGCCCTGGGGGCAGCGCCGCAACAGAGGGCTGTACGGGCCGAAGACCCTCAGGCGTCCCTTGCCTCGCACTCCCTGGACTCTGAAGGGGCCGCCACCCGGGGGAGCCCTGCCATGGTACTTACGGAGGCCGCCGCCGGTGCGGGTGCAACTGCCCGAGCTCGACGCGGTGACGTACGCGGAGAAGTTGTATCCGGTACCTTGGCTGGCCAAGCCGACTTTCCCGAAGTGGGAGAGGGGCTGGGACGACCCTTACCGCCGCCAGAGCCGTCCAATAGAAGAGCTGCCGGACTACAAGACGCGACCTTGCTACGAGTTTCACCGCCGAAGCCGCCTGCAGGAAGGTACAGTAGTCGGTGGGGGCGTGGCTTGGTCAAGGACAACCCCCCCGCGCGCTTTTGGTGGGCTTCTGCCAAACCTTTTTGAACGAGGGCGAGGGGAAGAGGAGGACAATTCGATTATCCCAGCGGTCTTCAAACTTGGCCCTTTTATGACTTTTGGACTTCAACTCCCAGAATTCCTTGAAGCCCACAAGTCATAAAAGGGCCAAGTTTGAAGACCCCTGCACTAGACTTTCTGCCTGGCTGGCTGAGGAATTCTGGGAGTTGAAGTCCACCAGTCATAAAAGGGCCAATTTATGGATTATCCTGATGGAGCCAGCAACTGGGCGCTCTCAGGTAAATTGAGTTAAAGTTATCCAAATAAGGAACGGGACTAATCTTAATTTGTATGACAGGGACTAATGCTCAGGGAAAAAATACGTTTCAGTAGTTGCATTAGTTGTATGTATATTTCAGTGTTATTTTTTTGTGTTTTTGAGTCAGTTATTGACTCCCGTTGACTGTCTGGACAAGTCCCGGTGGTTTTTCTTGGCAAGATTTTTGGGAAGTGGCTTACTATTTTCACCTTGCTAAAGCTGAGAGTGACTGGCCTAAGGTCACCCAGTGGGACTAATAACTCATGATCTCCCACTTTTTAACTTGATGCCTTAACAACTACTACATGAAGCTGGCTCTCTATATTTACATATACCTGTAAACAGGTAGCATGTAATATTGTAAAAAAAAACCAAACTAGTCCCATGTAATACTGGCCATACTGGCCCAATTTATTAGGTGCAAGGTCATTTTCATAGCAACTCAAGCCAGTATCCATTTATAATTCCTTATTGTACTTATGCCATCTCCATGCTCTTAGGAAGTTCTTTGCCTTTATAATTATTCTTTTTCCACTTCCAGATGTAGAAATAGAATATAATTGTTGTCACTGCTGGAGTGAATTGAGTATTGTGTGTAAGGTGAAAAGCATATATTAGTTTCTGTGTTAGTTAATATGTACATATTTATTTTGAGGTGTGAAGCAAGCATTGTGGCTAACCAAGGCAAAGCTAATAAAAGGCTTACCCTCCCCAATACTTAACATAATGAATGACATAACTCACCAGTTGGAGGACCAGGATGAGAGAATTCTAAATGCAATTTCTCGTGCTCGTTTTTGGGCTGGCACTGAAGATGATGTTTCATTTGATAAATACAGGTATGTTTTTAGCATAAGTTTTCTTTGTAGCTTCAGGGTTGTTGGTGTTGTCATTGTTTTAAAATTGACATCCCAAAATGTATGGAAGAAATATCTGAGATGCAGCTTATTATACCATCACTGGTTTTTGCTTGTAGAAGTAGTAGTTCATCCTTTGGGGAGAGAAAAATTCACAGAATGCCAAAATAATGGCCATATCTAATACAATTTGGTCATCTTGTGAGATTTAGGCTATTTTTTAAAATCAGGTTTAGTTTTTGGTTGCCTTGTCTAAATTTACTGCCCCCCCCCCCGATCTATCACTTAAAAAAGATAAACAAATGCAAAAAATGTGTTTTATTTGTTATATGATCATTACTTTATATCAATGATCTTTTTTTTTAAAATAAGATGGATTCCAGAAAGTTTGAAGGGCAAGTAAATCTGAAAAAATAGTTTTGAATATATGGGAAGAATTTTGCAATAAATTTAATTTCATCATTCAATATTCTATTTTGAGACAAGTCATGAAAATTATTTCTACTTTCCCAATCATTGTCTCTGTCTATAATTAGAAAAAGTAGATTAAATTTGGGAAATAAGTATAATTTGTACTTATAATAATGATTAATTTGTATAAACTTCATTATATTGTAACAATTGAAGTAACTTAAAAACCAGTTGGATTAATAACAAATACCTGGTATGTTATCTCATGTACAGTTGTAACTATCACCTTATTTTGTGTTTGCCATTTTGCAAATATTACAATAAATATCATTTAAGAAACTCCTGATACAGTGAAACTACTGGCTTGGATCTAACTATCCTCTTGTTCTGAAGTCCTGTGCTTCTGGAAGACCTGCTCCATTTGTGCAGGTCAATGACTGTTGAATATCCCTCACTGAATAAAAGAATGATGTCCCAAGACTACAGAGCAACAGCTACATGGGAGCGAGGTTAGTTAAAACTGTAAACTTTCTTCAGGGCAAGCATAATGTACTTAATAGACTGCAGAAAACTAAGGACAAATGTCCCAGATTCTGCAGTAGAGCCAGTGATGTTATAAAGGTATCTTCTGTGGTATAAAGGTTTATCCTGAATAGAGAAAAGGATTTGCTTCTTCATATATGAAGAAAATAGTTCCTAGAGAGGAAGAACTTCACTGATCTATTTATATGTGTTTGGGGTGGGAAGACAGTCCAGTTGCTGGGCTGGATTAAATTCTCTACAAGTTGTCAAAAAGTTATAGAAATTTACAGATAAATGCATGGTTAGAACAAATATAAAGTACTTTTGATTTCAAAGAATAACTTTAAACTCAGATTCAAATGTTTTTCTGATGGTAGCTGAGCCAGTATAGGTTGGTAGATCAGTAGAAGTTTTCTGATTTCTCAATTTTGGGGTGAGAGACTGTGCCTGGCCTAAAGTCATCAAGCCTGCTCCTCTGCCTAAGAAAAGACAAAAGCCAGGGTCTTCCTTGTCCAAACCCAACACTTTATCCAATCCATTGCACTGCCACTACATAAAATAAATATGCATATCTGGTATTAACTTGTTGCAAGACATTTAATATTTCTCAGTAATACTTGTTCTCAGGGACTTTGGACAATATACACATATTAACAACCTCGTCACCAAAAATAAAATTATGGTTTTAGAAGTGAAAAGGAGCAAAATAGATTGGCGGTTGATAATGTTGTCCTGCTGTTCAGGTTTTCTATGATTTCCAGAATTAAGAACAATAGCCACTTGGAAATGTTCTTGAAAAGTTTTTTATCCCTGGTTTTACAATATCTGGCTTATAACAAACTAACATAAGTTATTTTCTTTTATAGAGTCTTCTCTCATTCAGATTAATATTACCTGTGGAAAGCTTCTGAATGCAGAAAATTGCCTACAACCTATAGCATCCGGTGATGAGATATTGGCCACTGAAGATCATGATTTAGAAACGTTCTATCCTATTTCACCCATAATTGATCTTAGGGAAAAGAATGTATACAAAATAAAAAACGAAACTGGTAAGATTAAATATAATCTGTTTTATAATTTCTTAATTTGTAGGTGTGAATCTTCTAAATGAATTATGAGAGTAAAAGGGTCTAAATCAGTGGTTCTCAACCTTTTTAATACCAATAGACTAAAAGGGAGTAGCACAACTAAGGAAAAGGGGGAAAAAATGGCGGACTGCGTTGTTTGGCGACCCCCGTGAAATGGTCGTTCGACCCCAAATGGGGTCCCGACCCACAGGTTGAGAACCACTGGCCTAAATACAAAGAGTTGAGTGAATGTAAATGAAGCATCAAATGTCCTAAGTAATGGTCTGAAAAATATAGATTATATGCAGATGGTCTTACTTCTTTTGCAGTGAGTTGTGATCTTGTACTAAATAATTCCCTGATTTATATTTAGGTTTCAACAAAGGTTACCCATATCCTTATCCTCACACAGCATACACTATTGAAACTGGGAAAAGGGAGAAATCGGAACATTTACAAGCCAGAGTTTTGATGTTTGCTTTTGGGAATGCTCTAGCCAAGGCTAAGAAACTTTATGGAGTAAGTATTATAATTTAGATGGAAAAGCTATGGCTTGCTATAACCGATCAGGAGATGCTGGTCACTTTTGCTCTTGACAGTTCCATTAACTGCACTTCATAAATACTGTTCCATTAACTGTTAACATGAAATACATACAAACGTGCAGCTTCTGCAAGTCTTGATTTCTTAGAAAAGAGAAGACTGGAAAAGCAATGGTTGTAAATCTAGGACGTATCTTGCATAGTCCCTGTTGGATCTGCATTCTGTTGGTTGGCTGTGTAAAGGCACATAATGTGAAGACAGTGTGAGAGTGATCGAGCTGACAGTACTGAATAAAATGATCAAAAGTAGCAAATTCATATTGCTGATCATATGGATGTTATGAACATAGTACATAGTTTTGGATGTTAACAAGGCAAATGGAGTTTTAAACTTTGTGAATGCATGAGGTAACTGAATGCACTTTTGAATTTCCTATCTTAGAGTAAAATAATTTTCCATATATTTGTAATTCCTGAACAGTCATGACTACTATAAGAGAAATTCATGAGATTGGAATGGCTTTGCGTATACCACCTAGTGTTGGAGATGATAAAAGCCAGCACTGATTTTTCTGTTTGTTAAACTGTGGAAATTTGGTCGGTCTTTGGCAAAGCCACCTGTGGATTTTCTGCTACATATAAGGTCATCAGTTAAAATACAATCAGGAATTTGTGTTTGTTGAACCTGCATGTTACTTAGGTCAGGAGAGCATGTCAGTGATTGAATATGGTTTGATAACCATGTATCTGATTAATGCCCGATCATAGCTTCCTAATAACTTTGATAGCCCAGTTTGTCTCCTCTTAAGCTTCTAATACAGCCTTTTTTTTCCCTCTTGCCCAGGATGAACCCAAAGTCTTGGAGAAGCCAGTAGTTGTTCAGAGTATTGGTACAAATGGCCAAGCTTTCCATTTTGTAGTGTTTCAGTTGAACACAACAGATTTGGACTCTAGCAATGGTGTTAAAAACCTGGCCTGGCTGGATGCGGATCAGCTTTTGTATGAGGATGCCAGGAAGCATCCAGAAATCAAGAAGAAAATAGTTCTGGTATGTTGATAAAGTGTAATTACTTGCTGACCAAGTTATCACTAAAAGAACTTCTAGCTTTTTAACTTAGTTAGAAAATATTTATTATTGGCCTTTTCTCCAGGAGGT